AATCGTACGGTGTCGAATAATTTGGTGTCGAATAAATCTGTGTCGAATCGAGCGGTGTCGAATCGTACTGTGGTCAATAGAGTATCACCCGTTTAGGAACGCTAAATATTGCCACGTGTGCGAACGACCATTCGAGCAAGATGACAAGAGGGTGCGTGACTACTGTCATCTGACGGGACGCTTCAGAGGACCCGCGCACTCCGCGTGCAATCTGAATTACAAACAGGTCTACGTTGTACGCGCGTTTGCACGACCTGTTCGCACAGTCGACGTATTTGATGTACGACGTGACCACTTTCTACGGATGGGCGATGTGTCATCGCTTCCATACGGTAACTTCACATGGATGGAGAACGCGTCCGAGTTCGATGTATCAACAGTCGCGGTAGACAGCAACGTCGGCTACATACTCGAGGTGGATCTGACGTACCCAAAAGAACTACACGACGCGCACAGAGATCTACCCTTTTGTCCGACGCGCGAAGAGTCGCCTGGTAAACATAGGAAGAATCACGTCAAACTGCTCGCCACGGTGGTTGACAAGAAGCGCTACGTGCTTCACTACCTCAACAGCAGTGTCTGCGACACGGGCTTTGCCTGACGCAAATCATCGGGTGCTGCGGTTTTCGCAATCGCCTTGGCTGCGCGGGTACATCGAGCTCAACCCGATACCGCGCGAACGCAACCAACGTGTTTGCGAAAAACTTTTACAATCTTATGAACAACGCGGTGTTTGGCAAGACGATGGAGAACGTGCGCAAGTACACCGACGCACGACTCGTTATAAAATGGGAAGGACGATACGATGCAAAGGCGCTCATTGCAAAACCAAACTTCCACAGTCGCAGCGTGTTCGCTGAAGATCTGGTGGCCATAGAACTGTGTCGTCTGGAAGTTTTATTCAACAAACTGTTGTACGTTGGTATGTGCATACTCGACATATCGAAGACCTGTCTTTACAAATTCCAGTATGACTACATGGCACCGTTGTACGGTGACGATTGCAAGATCCTCTACACCGAAATCGACAGTTTGATATACCACATAAAGTGCGAGGACGTGTACGAGAATATGAAGCACGATATCGCTCGCTTTGATACAAGCGACTATCCAGTAAACAATCCATACAACATGCCTCACGCGAACAAGAAGGTACCATGGCTTATAAAAAATGAGAACAACGGTGCTGTTATGACGGAGTTTGCAAGTTTGCGCGCAAAGATGTACGCGACTCGAGTAGGCGACAGAAAGTGCACGAAGAAAGTGAAGGGTGTGAAGAGAAACGTCGTCGCAAAAATGATCACCTTTGATGACTACGTGCGGTGTCTGCGAAACGCAACCAAATTGACGCGACAGCAGTCGTGCATACGATCTCAGTTGCACGAGGTGTTCACCATGTCGGAATGGAAGCTCGCTCTGAGTCCGCACGACGACAAGCGATACGTCGTTCATAGACCGAGACCTTACCGTGCGGTCACTACAATATCCTTAATTAACAAAAGAAGTGACGCAAGTGTCCCTCTCCGATTTTGATGAGCTTTGAATATGTTGTAAAGTAGCTAAAACTAAAAGACCCGTATTTTTTTTATGTGCTTTCTTGCACGTTTAGGGAGTGATACACCCTTTCGAAAAAAACCGGTTTTTTTGTTTTATGCAAGTATCATCAAAACGGTAAGAGATATAAAACAATGTTTTAAATAAAAGTTGCATAATATTTTATAGGCTTTACAAACGCGTAGTTGGATTTATTTTTCATTCAACATTTTTTTATTTACTCCCACCCGTAATTTTTTTCAATTTTCAAAATTTTTGGAAGGAAAAATTGTAGCATTGTTTACGCTGAATTCAACTATATATGATTTTCTTATGTTTCAAAATCACATCCTTCAGAATTAAACCATCAATATCGTATTATATGCGTCGCGCTGCATGACTCATCATTTATATCGCGCTTTAATCGTAATAGGCGATACAAAAATTAAAGAAGGCAAATAGTCACGTCGTCACGTATTAGATAAAGTTCTAATCACAGAGCAAAAAGCAAAGTCTAAAAGCGTTGCTAAGACATCTCTTCTACTGATGGTTTACACTTTTAATCAAGAGGCACGGTAGTCCCTCGCGCCAAGTATATGCGCAAACAAAGTGCGCGCGTCCTGCGCGAGGTACCCCGTGCCTCTTATACGCGAAATTTAGCCGAGAGCCTTTTCGAGATTTTCCGATCTCAACAACGGCTAAACCGATCGAGTTCGTAGCAGACTCAATTGAAAGTTGAGATCGAAACACGAAAAAACTTAGTTCGCGGTTTTTTTCTCTGTGCCTTCTCAACGGAGATATCTCGATTCAAAGTCCGAAATGCCGAGAAACTAGGTTCTACAAATTTGTCCACGTCTTGGGACAATGCTTGAGCGTACTTCGCCTCTTGTTGCCGCCAGATGACAACACTTTCATGTAGATATATGCTGCGTTCCGAGTTACGCATAGCGCGCATTTATCTATAGTACACTACGTATAGTATAGATAAATGCGTGCATATGCGTAACTCGTAATGCACCCATAGTCTCGCGCCAAGTATAGCGGTAGCGGAACATACACAAGACGTAGTCATGCTGCTTGCGTTGCTATGTGGTGACAGGCAATAAAGTGCACTGTTGTAAAAGGTTGTGTTGCGATTCACTATCAGTACTAAAAAAAATCTATATTGTACATATTATTGTACAGCAATTTTTGTACTAAAGTTTAGTAGAGTAAGGCTATTGAGCAATATAATGAGACATCACTGTCATTGATCAATGACCTGTTTAGATCGCGGAGCAACAGCAGTTCTAGAAAGAACTGCTGGTTGCCACGGGGTGCGACACATCGCCGCATTGTCCGAAGTGCTACGCAGCATGTATCGACACCGGAACCGGTAACTAGCATTGCCGTTGCTAGGACCGGTGAGCCTGCTGAATCGGCGCGATCGATCTACTATAAGGCTGCTTTCCTTTTAGAAGACACAAATGAACACAAATTGACACAGATTAACACATTTGAGTACAGTGTGTCACAGTTAAATGGAACGCGATCTGCACTATGTGAATAACAATTTTAACTTAACCTAACCTAATCTAATTTAACCTACAAATTTTATTGTCGAAAGTTAATACGATTTACAGTGATAATACAGCATTAAAAAAGCAATTTTTAAATTTCTCAAGCGCGCGTGATGTATGTATATAATATATATTCTTATATTCTTTATATA